GCTGCCTGTACCGCTCCTGGTGTCACAACCCCGTCACGACCGTGTCCCTCTGCTTCCTTACCCAGAACTACAAACACGCCTACGACCTCATCCAGAAATTGTATCCTTTGGGGGTTTTCTGCGAGGCCGGTTCCCCGGGCTGGCCCCTGGTCCCTCTGTGGCCACCCAGGTCACCCTGCGGGCCAGCCCAGCCTCCTGCCTGCAGCCCATCATTACCAGGGCGATGTCCCTGCCGTGAGAGGGCAGGGCAGCCTGTGCTGGGTGCGCGCCAGCTCCCTTCCCCTTGTCTCATCCTTATTTTTCTGTGGTGTAAAAAGAGGAAAGCGGGTGTTGGCTGAGCTCTGACCTTCCCCTGCCCGGGAGGGGAGGCTCCTCAGCATCCTCTTCCTCCCAGGAAGATGAAGGCTTTGGCCTCCTGGCCTGATGAGGAACAGGCAGCGCCCAGCGCGGTGCGGGTCCCGGTGAGCTCACCGTCTGCCTGCAGCAGAATGATGATTGTCATGTGCCGGCAAACCCCAAGCCCCCCTAAGTAGCTCTCCACTCTGTGAAGCTTAATAACGAGCTCGGGTCCCCTTCCCGGTGCAGGCTGGCGTTTCATCTTAGGGAACGGGAGTGCTCAGCGTCACCTCCATGCCATCCCTACGGGCCAGGAGCGGGGTAAAAGCAAAGCGTCCTCCCTTGCACCGTCTTCCTGCCTGCTGTCTGGCTGGGCAAGCTGCCGGCTTTTTGGGTAGCCTGCCTTTTCCCCTATCCCTGCCTGCTTGTCCTGTTTCCTTCCATCATCCCTTGGCTGCCTTGCAGACCTTTCGACCCTGCCTCTTCGCTTCCCGCGGGAGCTGTGGATGCAGGGAGGATTTGGCAGAGCCGTCATCCACGCCGGGCATCACCCGGGTTGAGCCATCTGCTGTCACCGGGCCACCCTTTTCCAAGGTAACGTCCTTAACGGCCACATCCAGCGGGGATCTGGAGGTCACCGTGGATTTCCTCACCGAGGTGGACAAACTGGTACAGCTCATTGAGTGCCCCATATTCACGTGTAAGGAGGAAAACCCGCGTGGGGAAG